TTTTATGTATTTAGTGGTAAGATTATATTCGAATTCTTAAATCTTTAATCGGACCACTATGCACATACATAAGTTTTCACATCAAATGCTATTTGAATTAGACCCACCTCTAATTGATTAGTACCCATCACATTCTCATTAATCACAACATGTTGATCACACCAATGCCAGTCTATTCAAAACTTGAAACTCTACTTTTGTGACACTCCTAACATGTCATGAGAACAAAAAAAGATGAAGGTAAATCCTTATGTATTGGTATTGCAGCCTTGTTGCATGTAATGCATTGGTATTGCATCACTTGAAGTCTGTCGAAGAACGAGTTAACCAAATCAAAATCGTAGTTATACTTAGAAAAATCAAGAATCAGACTATTAACCGGTGTGACTAAATTATTGAATCGGATGTGTCGAAAAATCGGAATGAACCAATTGTTTTTGAATAGCCTGCAATCCAGTTTTGTAATATAATGAAAAAGTATTTAAATACTGTTAATATAAATATAAATTATTTAAATACTGTTTATTTGAGATGAAATTCATGTCAATCATGAAATTAGAGTTGACACAAGAAATAAATTATTATCATTTTTATCATTTCTATGTAATTTTTCAAAAATTAATTTTAATAGTTTAATATTTTTTTACTATATATAATATTAATTATTTAATATTTATTTATATTTTTAATTAATTAAAGATGCAAAATGTTCGACGCAAGGCTTTTATCGGGTCGGTTCGGGTTCAACCAAACAGCATCTGTTGAAACTTGTGAAGACATCATGGACTCAAGTGCAGAATTACCCAAAACAAAGTATTAGATAAATCACAGATTCACTTGCAAAGAAGAAGAACACACTGTTCCACACCCAACCTTGTGGTTGGTTTGGAAGAAGCACTAATAGGAGCTGAAACAACTGCATTGTTTCTTAAGCTTACCTTTTTACCTGCTCAAGAAATTAATCTGGTCAATACAAGCAAATTTTGGCTGCTTTACACACAAAAACAAGTATGACTAAACTTTTACGTGCATGGTGTGCTAATATTTCTCCAGTCTGACAGCCTCAACAGGGAAGCCTATACATCAGTGTCTCAGACAACCAAAAACACTTCCATTGTCAAACTAAAATATCTACTAGCAAATTAATCAGATGAAAAAAAAGGGGAATAACAGGCCATGTGAGCTTAGCTACTTCGCCTCGTGATCCAACTCTCTTGTTTTGTCATTTGATTCGCGAGCTTCTTGTTTAACAATGGTTCCATTGCAGCCAGTGACATCGTTTTTGTTGCAATTCCTGTCCATGGAACTGTGGCTCAGCGGTGCCATTCCATGGCTCATTATAGGTTTTCTTCGGTCGGGTGGTATAGCAGTGGAGAAGCCTTTCTGATTCGAGATTGCGGTGGCAAGAGCGATGGGCATGAGGCAGAGTCCTTTGTTTTGAAGGTACTGCATAGCAGTGGTAACATTAGTTTCCATGAGCTTTACGACTTCCTGCTCGAAGGCCAAGCTGTCCTCTGACTCGGATATATCAGAACTTCCCTGCCCTGCCGATGATGACAGAAGCAAACTGCCAGAAACCTGTAGAAATGAGAAATGATTGAAAATAATGTATAAACACTGACAATTCCTAGAACTTTGCTGAAAGCATGTGGAGCTGAGAGAATAAGAAGCAACAGATCCAAATGAGCTGCTTAAATTTATACCCTTCCCTACTCAGAGAAGAGTATCATATTGCAGTCAATTGCATCTCCTAATGGTGTTCCAGGAGCACTACTCTAGTTTAACACCACTCTCATATCATATATGCTGTATATTTGTAGTTGCTGCAAGAGACCAAGAAAATATGTTGACATTCACTTGGAAGCCTTTCAAGAACAAGAATTCCCAGTGTACCAGGTGCTAGATTGACTCTCATATTATTTATTCTACTTAAAACATAAAAAAAAGTCCAAACTACTCATATTTTGTCCTGATTTGGGGTGTGAGAGGCAATATGCATGTTTGAACTGCATACAAATAATTTTCAGAAACTTGACATAGGTGTACCTGGGTTAAAAAAGCCATCATTTGGTCTATTAAGGTCACTTTTTAGGTAAATAAGACAACTAACGGAACAACACGTCACCACAGACAGCTTTTATTAAATTAATGGCATAAAATGATCTTTTATATATTTAACCTATATGAAGACTGTACTGACCTCCACTGTATATGAATGGAAGAATCTACTAAACATGCAGATACGAACTGTACAAGAACCTCAAACTTAGATGAGACATCAAAGATAAATGTGTATATCACAGATTGCTCTAATGGCTGTTTGCAGGGAACCAACCACCACATCAACACATACACGCAGGCAACCTATCTGGTTTTACAACAGAAATCAGATCAAATTTTCCTTCCTAGCTGCTCAGGAAAAAAAAGATAAGTCAATGTTACTTATGCCTTTGATCTAAATGAAAAATGGCTAAAATCTTACTACTATAGCTTAGAAGATAATGAAGCATTAATTAGACCAAAGCAAAAGATATAATATATACCAAAAAATGAAAACCAGCAATGTTATGTCATGATGCTCAGACAAGAGAGTATTGAAAGAGAACCTCAGTTTGAGTATCTGTCAGCAGAGGAACAACTGCTCCAGTTGCACCGAGCCGGCTCATGCTGAGAACCTTCAATAATCATATTACGGAAAACAAAAAGTAAGAAAAAAAAAAAATAGATTTTGGTAATTGTACATGGTGCCAAGTGTTGTAAATGTGCAAACCTTGACTTGCAATTGCAGAAATTTTACATAGTCGATGATTTCATCAAGCATTGATGCCTTATCTGTCTGCACAAAGAAGAATGCATGCTTCAGCCATAAGCACTTTTTCAGATAAGGGTAGAATAAAGAGCATTTGTTGACCCTACATAAATTTGAGTCCACAAAGGAGCATTTTTGCGTGATAAATGGAAATATATGAAGACAGCTTGTAATTTTATCACTACTGCAATTGATATTGCATGCTGGACTAGACAAAGACATACTGCTTGCCATAGCAAGAATATGATGAACAAAAGAAAATTGCACTAGGTACACAACTTGCCAAAGAAGAACCATGCCTTCTAAATGGAAAATCAGCAAAATTCTGAGTGTCTTACTGGGATCCATAAATATGTAATTTGACCAGTGATCAATCAGAAGCAGAAAAGACCCTCAAAAACTACTGGTATGGTAGCTTGCACATCAGTGGTATTGCAGGCAGTAGCATGATATTGTAACACTGGTTTCATAGAGTGAACAGGTATTACAGAGAATAAATTTATACAAGTTCCAATTGAACTACAACTTAAAATTATCATATGATTGAGCTTGATCCAATTCTCAAAGTCATTTGGCGCACTGATTTTAGATATTAACTAAGGTACAGTCCAACGTGCTTTTGTATTCTTAGACTCGAACATATTCTAATTGGTAGACCTACTGTATCTAGTCCTACATCAAAGTCTTATTATTGCAGTAAAGATATATGTGGCACCAAATAATTTTAACCAGACATTTCTCCCATTTTTAGTTGCAATAAAAAATGAATCAACGACACAAGTTAAAATTTTAAATGTAAGAAATGATAATCAATAGTACCTTATTGGAACTGGGGACAAGCTCTTGTAAATTCTTCATCCTTTCTGCAATTTTTTCTCTCCGTAGCTGCACCAAATAGTTGATACCCACAGATGAAAAAATTGTCCTAGGGAACCATATCATGCAACAAAAAATAAACTGACAAAAAAATATTCGAGACAAGAAGTAAACCATGAAAAAAACAAGGTAAAAAACAAAAGTAAATTTCATAGGCTGACCAAGTACTCCACAGTAAGACATGACAATATAACGCATACTCACTCGTTCTGCGATGCTATGAGGATCAGTGGCTTGGCCTCGTCGTGCTCTTGCACGTGGCTTGGCAGTTCCATTGCAACCACTGGCATTAGCTGAAACAGCTAGTGACGGCGTACTGGAAGTATTGTTTATCTGATGGCTAGCAGTATGCCTTTCAGATGATGGTGATAGCTGAATTGTGCAACAGACATAGGCATCAACAAAAAATAGCATGATATACTAATTATGTCGATGGACAAAAATTTGTAAAAAAGGATTGAGCAAATAACCTGCTGAGGAGTCTGTATTCCTGCCATTTTATTTACTGCCATCATACATGATCCTGAAGGAAAAGAGGGCGAATGCAACCCATTTTGCTCCTGCAGTTCTACATTGGCTTAATCAACTCATACAAAATGTTAAACAGAAGGAAACAAAAAGGCTCAAGTTCTGAACACCTTTTGTGGGAGCAAAGCACCAGCAATCAAATTCATATGTTGCCCCACAGAGAAAGAAGAAAAGTCACGTATTTCATTTTGATTCTGCAAAGTCATTCATCTGTAAGTAGGTCTTGATTATCCACAATCAGTTAAAAGAAAATCCAAGTACAACTAAAGAAAAAGGCTATACACCTTAGCATGCACGGATTCTGCAGGTAATCTGTCCACATGAAATTTCCCATTCTCAAGACTTAATTTTCCCAATACATAATCATTGTTTTCATTTCCTTGATAACCAAAAGCTGGTGAGTTTCCATGCCCCACAAAAGAAGAGACACTTGAGTATGATGAAGGCCATATTGTCGGAACTGAGTTAATTGAATGGGCATCTCCAAGAGATTGTGGAAAAGCAGATAGTTCACTACTGTTGCTCTCGATTGAACTGGATATGGCCAGTGTGCCACGTGGCAATGCTGATTCAAATGATGCGGATGTTTGGTTACTACCAGTGACCCCCAGTAACGGGAAAGTTCTAACTCGGGTCCCATTATTCATTGAGATTGAATTGGAGGTTTGATTATGTAAATTCTGGTGAGATAATCTTTCACCAGAATACAAATCTTTAAGAATTCCATAATTCACACTCCCATCTATGAACATGGAAGGAGTCCCATCATGCCCATGCACATTTAAATCTTCAGCAGCTGCATTGCCTATAATGTTACTTGAAGGCACCATGCAAACAGACGGGTTTTTTGCTTCTCCATATGGTTCTGTAGAATCAGCAAGTAAGCCATTTGTATGAGATACACTTGTGCCATTCCATGATGCCTTTGAAGAGGCATTTCTGTCTGACCATGCTGGAGATGACATGAAAGAATCAATCAAGTCATCCATTATGACTTCTTGGAGCAGAGACTATCGATATTCACTCTTTTCTCCAAGCTTCTGATAAAAGAATATTTCAACAATTACATCACAAAGAACCTGGCTTGAACAAAGCTATACTGATTTACGCACTTGAACCTTTTATTGTTTGAGAACTAGATTGCAGTTCTGAGTACTGAAATCTTGAATAGAAGCGGCTTTTCATGATCTAATGTAGAGTAACATACTGCAGCTGTTAATTTCCTGTTGTTACCGAAAAACACAGATAAATTTGTTCAGATCATAATAGAAACAGGAAGTCATAATGATTTCACAAAGAAAAATCAGCACTAATTGGTGATAGGTTTTGGACAATCACTATAAATATGATTCGATAGGCAGGACAAAATGATCATATGGGCCCATTTATTCAGCTCCAAAAGAAAATATAGGCCATTATAGCATACACTACTTAGCAAACTAATTACTAGCTACTACCCTACAGATTACTAGCATATTGCTGTATTTTTAACAGTTATGAGAAAATAAACTTGCTGGCTTTTATAGTGTTCTTCTCTGTTGATTTAGAGAAAACAGATGTCAGATAAATGATGACTGCAGTTGGAAAGGATAATTAAGGCAAACACACATGTAATGAAAATCTTCCTAGTAGTGCTCAGTGTTCAAGCTATAAAATGTCTTGAAAAAAAAAAAAAAAATTTGGTGTTAGACTCAACACTATGAAGCCTTCTACAGTATTATTTTCTGCTGTATAACTCTAACAGAGTAGAAAAGAAATAACCATTAAATTTTTGGCATATTAGTCAGACAAGTTATTGGGCATCCAAAAGAGCTAAAGCTTCTGTGTTAAACTCAGTTCTACAAAGTGATAACTGTCGATTCAGCTAACTAGAGAACTTTCACCAAAGTAATCCACCATGTTTCACCTACTTCTGACTGCTTCCAACTTATTAGATCAAAACCTACCTTTTCTTCCTTTGAGAAAGCCTTTGCAGATAATTGATCTTTAGTACTGAGGCGAAGATGATCACTTCTTGCCTCATCCCTTTTCTCAATGCCACCATCGGCCATCAGTTTCTTGCAGTTTTTCATTTAAATACTTCTCACTTCATCTTCCTGACTCATAATTACTGGAAGATGAGATGAATGACGTAGAAGGCCGACGTGCTGACCCCTTTATTCTCAGTTGAGCCACATGATACAAATTCGACTCTGCTGTTCTTATGGAAACTGTCATAAATACATGCTTTTCTTGTTTGGTCGACCTCGAATTACCTCAACAAATTCCGGAAATCAAGATTTCAACCATCTCCTCTTCCTAACCCCTAATCTAAAGAGTCAAAAAGGAAAAACCTTAGCAGAGAAATGTTTCGAAACCAATGATGACACTAACACCGAGTAACAAGCTGAATCAAACCAAACCAAAATCGAACGAGGCCGATCAAAATTCCCACCAGTACATGCTTCAAGATCCAAATTTTGACGCACACACGGAAAAAAGGCAACAAAGACCATAAATCCACAGCTAATCCCAAGTGAAAACGGAAAAGAAACACGAAACCGTAATCGAACTGCTCCAAGAATTGACCCAAAACGGAAACAGAGAGAAGGAGAAATCGAAGCAGCGCCGATCGGGCGACCACGTGATTCACCTGGGGAGGGAGAGAATTCGAGCAGCCCTAACGCCAGTTCGGCGGCGAGCGAGAGGAGTGGAGGTGGTTGGTGATCGAGAAGGCCAAAAAATTGCAAGGAAAAGTAAGTGAAAAAGCAAGCTTGGAAGCGTCAAGGAAGACAAGACAAAACAAGAGAAGAGAAGAGGAGGGCGGGTAAACGGGGTTAGGCTTAACGGAGGTGACGGTGTGAGTCTCACACACACGAGCAGCGAGAGTTATAGCCACATCTTTGATGCGGTCACCGCAGATAAGAATAAGAAGCTACTCACAAAGGAAAATTTAGTAATTATCTTAGCGGGACAAGAGAGAAAGGAGGGGCGGTGAGCATACACACACTTCATCTCTGCAGCCTCTTCGATCACTTCCAACGAAGAGTGGCCCATAAAACAAGCTCACCGTGTACGCGACTCACACCAAATTGACCCGTTCTCCCCTCTTAGTTTACGGCCCCGAAAAAGATTTCTTCGATCCACGTGGCGAAACTCCATTGGCAAGAGGAAGGTCGGGTTTCGATTCTCGGGTTCGATAGCGACCGTTTGAGAAAAGGCGATCCGCTTTAATAAAAGGAGGAACCTTGGTGTCAAATTACCGAACTAACCCTGTTTTGACGATCGTACCCCCGCTTAATAAGACTCAACTGCTTTAATTATGGGCAGGTTGGTAATATGATCTTCCGGATTAGCCGGGACTGTTGCGTTGATCTCGGCGGATCTGCGGTGATGGACCGGGCCGTCCAGGTAAATAAGCTATGGGTAAGGGGCTCTTTATGTAACTTTACAGATAAGGATCGTTTCAGACCGTCGGATTTGGTCCATTGCGAGTGGCGATGAGATGATCGGGGTAATTCGGTAATTCTAACTCGTTTTCGGGGTGGGGGGTTTTGGTTCTGAGCCCGGATAACACGGAGGGTCTTCCGGCCTTGCGTTGGGAAGACGACAACTGTCTGCGAAATGACCAAAACACCCCTGAGATGGGGTCGGGTTAAACGGGGCGGGACCCGCGTTCGTCGGATTCTTGGCCAGACGACGACGCGTGGGAATCTGGATTTTGTTTAGAGTTTTCTTCGTGTGCCGCTGCGTGACACGCGTTGCATGATTAGGTTAAGGAACCCAGCTTATTGTTCAAGTGATGCCTGGTTTCGATGAGGCTTCGCTGTTGTCTTCTCATGTTTAGGTCAAAAAGGCCGGAGAAGAGAGAGAGAGAGAGAGAGAGAGCGAGAGAGACCTCACCTTGTCCTCGTGTCAACTACAGAAGGAATCTTCACTATTCATCATTAGATACAAAGATCACAACTTAAGAGCATGGTTATATCGATCCTATCAGACTAAAAAATATTAGGAAGTTAAAGAGAGAGAGAGAGAGAGAGACGCATTCCTCACTTTGTCATCTTGTCAACTACATGCTTTATCTACACTATTCATCATTAGAGACAAGATTACAGCTTAAGAACAAGGTTATATGGATCTTATCAGACTAAAACATGCAACGTTCTACGTTTCCTTCCAAATTCTGCACCTGTTAATTACTTGTCAATCTCTCTTCATTGTGTTTCATTATCATCTGCCACCCTAGTTAGTGATGTATTTTTAGGTTCGATTGGTAATGGGCTTTAGATCAGGCATCACTTTCTAACAGGTGGAGATGGTAGGTTGTAAAGCTTCTTCTGTTTGCTCACAGCGAGGCACAATCACACCTGTGAATTGACTCATTATTGAATCTTAACCCTACTTTGATTACTTAGTTGTTCTTTATCTGTTGCAGTTTACATTATAAAGTGATTTTAGTTAGCTATATATTGAATTAGTGACTGTTTAATCTATCCATTGCTAGCTGTTCTGGTATCCGTATGAGCCGTATATGTTGTGGTGATATATATACTCAGCAGATCGGATCCACCTGACAAGGGACATCAGCAGATCTGATACAACTGTTCTGGTATCCTTACTGACTGCACTCATGGAGGTTCCCTGAAAGAGCTTATAGTTCTTCACTAAAAGAATAGTATAACATGGTCAAGACGACTCCTGTGTTAGTTTATGCTGAAGTATTATTATTATAACATGGTCAAAACAAATTGAAGTCCAACCCGGTTTCTTCTCGGGTCACTCTCAGAAAAATTCATCAAGCTTAAGTCGATACTCAAGTTGAGGATAGTTCTGATAACTCTCCTTCGATGCTTAAGTCGATACTCAAGTCAGGTCCTAAGCATACGTGGTGGACGTCTGACGAGAAATGATTATAATAGCTCAATAATCTCGGATTGTTACCCACGTTTGTTATGTTGATTAAAATTACTATTAATTGGAGCTATTATTAGATGATTTTGTCGATTTAGCTTGATCATGTGTCGTCGACCAATAATGAGTCATATGATGAGATAGTCCTTCCTAGATAGATAATGAGAATTTATCAAGTTAATCATATGAGATACCGACAAAAGAGCCACATCACTCTTCATACCATTATTTTTTTCTTGTAAGTAATATCAATTGGATTACATAACAAACAGGAAGAAAGAATGACATTATCGATGAGCTAAATATCTAAAGAAGAAAAAAAATAGTAAAACTAGCTATAAAAATATTAGATTTGTAAGGTAATTCAGTAATCAAATTAGGTTTATGTTCCAATTCAGTAACCTTAATAGTTAATCAGATTTGGATATATATATATAGATATATAATTATTTTATTTATTATCATTTCTAATATGAGTTAGGGTTAATAGCAGATAGATTTTCTTGGGATACCTCAATCCATTGAACTCAAAACCAAGTTTGAATACTATTTTATCATTGGATAATTTTGAGTAAGAAGGAAGATAAGCATGTCGATTTTAGATTCAAATACCTGTCATTAGTCAGATTTATATTTAAATATATAAAATTTATGAGTACTCGATGTCTATGAAATGAATATTTTTGTCTTGTTTATTTGGTTCATAAAAAGGAAATTAGAATAAGGGATATTAGGGTAGACAAGATCAGCTTGTGTTCTTGGTCTTGTTCAAAAGTCATAAGTTGACTTCAACTATGAACACTACAGATAACAAATAGCCGCAATTTGAGTAGAAACAAGATTCATACATGTCAAAAAAAAGTCAAAAAAGAAAAGAAAAAGGAAAAAAAAGATGACCTGCCAGGCTATTTCTTTATGCATCAAGCTGGATTCCAGTAAGTTCTAGCTTTGTCTGGTGCACAATACCAATTAGTCGAAAGAAAGTGCCTGCCACATTATCCATTCTGGCCGATGTTGTAATCATGCAATGAACCAAAGCAAGCGATGATCTTGCAAACAGTGTGGGTGCAGATGTAGAGATGTTGATGTAAATATTGATGCCAGCACTGGTTGAAGTGGTTGGCTCTCTCCCACACCTCCTGCTTTTGTTTGATAGTGCAATTCCTAATGATATTTACATTCTTTGTTTTGTCATTTTATCAAACATTCATTGTGATGTGAGCTCTTAATTGGCAACATCTGTGTCAGTTTCTTCAATCTGAATCATGAAAATAATCTTTTGATTGAGAAAGAAATTTTATATTTTTTTTTATTTTTTAAAATTTATATTGATAAAATCCTCTTCATGCACTCAATTGATCCTCCAAATGCATTAAGCCAAACAAGGCTTTTAATGAATTGGAAATTAAATTATTATCAAAGAGCTATTCATCCTAGCTAGCCATGAAAAGGAATCCAATTCACTTACTATGATTAGGCAATATGATAGAAATAAGATTATTATTATTTTCATAATGTTCATCCAAATGATGTAAGATGTGGATCCCACAATATTTTCTAATGACTAGGATAAACATAGTTGATGGTTTTGGTGGGGACAAGGAACATTTTTTCCATGTGGGTTGTGGGTACTATCACACACTTCACTTTCATCAAATGTGAGATGTAAAGATGTGTACTACTCCGCACTCCCAATAAAACCTATTGGCCTTCATTGATAGGATATGCTATCTTCTTCTTCTTCTTCTGGCTTCTCTGTCTACTGTCCTCATGTGCTGTTGATTCCTTTGTTCATGCATCTCCTCTAATCATCCAACCTCAGCACCTGTGTTGGAAGAGAAACTGAATTCTCCATCCAAAAATTCTCATGTATCATATGCAAATCTTACTAAAGATATTCGCATGTTTTAAACAAAGAGAATAATCCCTTTCTTACCTCTCTATTTATACAATAGTACATAAATATATCATCTGCTTTTGTTAGGAAGACATGCTTTTAGAAAGACCAATGGAGAGATGATGCTCAAATTTGATTCGAGGAAGGCTTCATGAGACCTACCTCAAAAGAGAAAAGCTTTGTGAAATAAGGTTGGAGAAATCTAAGTGAAAAGAAACATAGAACTGATAGGTTTGTGTATCCTTAGGAAAGGATTGAAAGAGTTAGTCATAATGCAAAGTAATATTAAATATAATATCTTCTGTCAATAGATTAGTATTCTTAATATAGTTTTTTATAAATCAAATTTACACTATTATGGGTTTCTTATACCATGTCATACTTATTTGAGTATTTTTGTATGGATTTTTCTTTTATCTCATAATTTAAGTTAATCTATATACATATATAATTTCCTACATTAACACAGATCCCCACATTGGTATAGTTTAAGATGAAATTATGCTGATGGCAGTCTGATAAGGTTAAGTTGATTTGTAGGTATGTTTAGTTATTGTAGGGTTTCATATCTCTCTAACAATGGGTTGCTTATAGCAGCACTCAAAATCAAATGCAAGATATTTTTACATTCATATGTGATTAAATTAAGAAGGATGTAATAAAAGTCAAAGCACAAATAAGAGAAGACAGAGACGCTAACACTCACTTTGGACAGCCACTACTGCCATCTGCAGGCTTCATGAGCAGGGCAGTGATGATTTAGAACAGTCTTGTTCTTTGTTCTTTATCTTCTTATGTTGCACTTCAAAGTACATCTCATAGCTGTCCCTGTTGGTTCATCCAGCTTTGCTACTGCAGTAATCACTGTCAAGTTTCAATAGCAGCAGAGCAGAATCCACTAACCACTGTGATGACTTCAAATGTCTGAAGAAGCATCCTGCTGAAGTCAACTGCAAGTGTGACCAACAGTTCGTCGCAGCAGCTCTGCGATGGCAGAAATGGAGGATCACAGAGACGGCAGAAATGCAATTCTGCGCTGGAAG